TAAACAAATCCACCATCAAGTTCTTCAAAATTAAATGCAAAAATAAAGAATACTAAGAATTAACGAGATTCGGTATTGTAACCTACGTCCTTGGGCGCTGCAAGAGAAAACTCCACTATCTCCAAACAATATTACAAACTTTTGGGCGATATAACAAATACCCAATACAATAATATTACAATCTTTATTTTTACATTTAATTTTGGCCATTTATTTCTGTTTTACTACTTGTTATTATTATATTCAATAGCTAGCGTTAGAGTTTATGTTTCCGTTGCATAACAGTTAGATGGTGGTGTATGAGTTTAAAGTTATATGTTGTTGTCAGGACATTCCCTTGCAGGTTAGACAAGCTGGCAGCATGGTCTTCTCTCTTCCTCTTAAAAATTTTGATTACAGAATTAGTGGCTTACTCTATTGCTGCTATTTTAAGGCTTGTGCTTGGTAGGGTGACTTTGAAGATATAGTTTTTAGATCTTATTTTTGTCTTAGCATTGTCACCACCTTTATTTTGCATAGTAAGGACAAATATGAATGGTGTAGAAACTTTCTTGGAAGACATATCCATTAAATGCTTGTGCTTTTCATTTCTAAACGTTTTAATCAAGGTCTCATGCTTGTGTGTTAACTTTTTGGTAATGTTCATATTACAACTTTTCATAACTGGAAGTTGGATTGGTTGATTGTCTTTCTACCAGTGTAGCTGATTGCGGAATTTTTGTCGGATGGGTGTGGTGCAACTTCCAGTATGAATTTGTTTTTAGCTTTGGTTAATCAAATTTAAGGTGGTCACTGCCTGTATTAAACTTGATTTTGTCTGTAATGAATTAATGCCAAGGGAGTTGAATGCTTGTAAAAAGATCATTATTTTACTTCATGTATTGCAATTATGACTGAATTCTTTGAGTTTTTTCCTGCAGCTGGATAGTTTCTTTTCCAAAGCGGATAAATTACGGTAAATGTGGCTGACAGTTTAATTAGTGGTTATTCTGTTTAGATTTTGCAGAAGCAACTGTTTGTAGAACACTTTGGACCTAAAAAGGAAGGGAATGTGGGGTGATTTAGAATTTGAGGAAACATTTGGAATTTAAATAAGTAGGTTGTATGTTTTGATCTTGTTTACATGAGATAACTTTATATCTAATTTTAAGAATATATGTCTAGTGTTTCATTTGCTTTTCTCTATGTGTCAACAGATGTGCTTGTTCCCATAATAATGGGATTATGTATTGACCAATGTGTCAATTGTTTTTTTTCCTACTCTTTTCCAGTCATTTACAATCATTTTGCATGTTTTTGGTTGATCGGTCAATTCTTATCAGGAGAACACATACACTTTGCTTTTTTGCCTGGGAAGCTCTGTACTATAGTGATTTTGTTTTTCATGATGACTAGTAGGCTGATATTTAGAATGAACTATGTTCCAGTGTTGACATAAATTAGTTCGGAAGCTCATATTTTCAGTAATTTGCACATGGCTATGATTTTGTAGCCAAGATAAGTTGGTAGGTGCTTTTGCGATTTCAGAACCTTTAATTCTTTCTTTTATTATGTTTTAGGATTCAGGACTGATAGTAAGAACTGATATGGTAGGAGAACATGCATGTGGTCAATAGTGGCTTAACTGTTTGAGCACATTCTACACTTTTGATGATTTCATTAAAATTCTGTGGTTAATGTGCATTGATACGTAACTACAAAATGGAGTTTCTAGACAAAAACACACTTGCTGTAGAGCTGTTTAGCTTATTAAACTTGTAAACTATCATTTATAATTTCTTTTATGATCATCTTGTTGTTAACTGTACTTTTTGGACCTTCTATTTTTTATTTTATAAGAAACCATTAAAACTTACAAACATAACAAGTATGTCCACTAGCAAAACTGGAAAAAGAAAAAAAGAAACTAACATCAGTATACCCAGGACTTCCGAAAACAAAAAGAGAATTCTAAAACAGCCCTTCACAAGGAAAAAAGTGCATTGTGAACCTTTAACAAAAGTTTTGTAAATATGCTTCTGACTAAGGTTTTAGCTAATTAGTTGGCACATTTTTTGCAGACTTATGTCTTTAGCATGAGTATCACTACAGTTCTAAAAATTTTCTGTTCTTCAATGTTATCAGTTGCAAGCCTGATACATGCATTAGACAGTGATTTATCCACTCTTTTTTTTTCTCAATAAGTTGATGGCTTTATCTTGCTTGATTTTGGCCTTTTTGCATATTGGTTTGGAATATTCTTGTGTGGCTTTGCATGTTGTCTTTTAACTATTACTTATTTTGAAGGCCTACTCCAGTTTCTGTGTTTTAGAACTTCTTGATCTGATGATATCTGTCAATAAGAATCAGTTCTATTATGCTTTGCTTTATGATTTTTTGTAAATGTTTACCGGGGTATACCTTCTAATCTTGCCAAAAGATTATGTTTTGCCTTATGATTTCTTTGTAAATTGTCTACCAGGATTATTTGTGTCTCAGTTTCTTGTTTGTACATTTTGTGGATTTAGGATGGATTCATATGGAATTGTCAATCGACAGACTGAACTCCAGTCCCCTAATTAAGAATTTTGTCTCCTAGGCATAATAAAAATATTGGGGGACTCTCTAGAGATAATGACATTTTCTTAAGTCAGGTGCTTCAGTAGGAAAGCAAATTTTTTGTGTGATATTTTATTACTGCAGCTCTTGACTTTTATGCTTGCTGCGCAATATTTTGCTTAACATTCTTACATGTGGCCCCTAAGGTCTTTGTGTGGTTAACCAGGGCATTATATTAACATATTTTCTATAAGCATCTCGGAATGGTGGCTTTCACAATGGTGCTCTGTTTCAATGGTCTTTGAGATTCTGTTCTCGTAGCCCTAATTTTATATGAAATTTGTGCATTTAGCTGTATTGTTGTTTTTGCGTTACTAATGAGATTACATTTTTTAGGCATTTAGATGCTGTGGAGGCACATATTTTGATGTGAAATTATCTGAAAGTTGTGTGCTGGACTTTCTATTTCATCTTGTTTTTACTGAGTAGTTTTTATTTTAATTGCATTTTGTTGCTGATAGCTAGTGTCATAGGCTCTGTAATTGACAAACCCTACGAATATTTGTTACTTTGAAGTAGAGTGTTTGTGGCTTTTGGATATATTATGGATGTGAAAAAAAAAAACTTTTTTCATGCTAGAGCTGAAATATTGTGTAGACTGTGTTTTCCTTTTTTATCTGCCTCTTTTTAGTTCATATATTGGTAACTAGTGGCCAAGGGCATGAATTGATGTTTGAATTCTTTACTTCACTTCATCAAGGGCTGAGATGTGATGTTTCCTGACAGCTTATATGTGGTCTGAATTTCAACTCAATTGTTGCTTACTTTTGACTATTGTATATGTCTACTTTAGTTCTTGCTATTTTTTATTGATAATTTAGAGTAATGATTATATTTGATTACGGAAAGCTATGTATGAATCTTAAAGTTTCTCATAAAGTAGGACTATTGTTTTGTGCATTAATTGACTTAACACTTATTATTGTATTGAGTTGTTTTTGCCCTTGAATAGAGCTAATTTGTTATGATTCTTAACTTGTGATGGTGTTTCCCAAATGATTGACTGAGAAATTACTACTATTCTTTGACTTTTGTTGCATTATAAAGGAAAGATGGATAAAGAGAAGAAATAATGTGATAGTGAAATTTGGTGGCAAGAGTGTATCCATGTGTAACTATTACTAATGATTATTTAGATGGTATCAAAGTTAGAGTGTGAATTGAACATAACTCTAGGTCTCCTAGTATCGTTTGTTTGTAATGAAGTCTACTAGTAGTACCTATAAGCTAATATAACTTATTCTTGGTGAAGGACAAGAAGATAAATAAGGCCAAAAAGGAATGAATTGTCCATGATTCTGTCAAGAATGCAGTCCACTAGACCCACGAGGATTTACCTATCAATAAATCTAAGTCCTTGTTGAGTTAAACATTTAATTCTATAAGCTGGGAATCTTTTGTAATACTGTCATTTGATACCAAGTGCTTCTGTAGTTGTTGACTTGTATTTATGTTGTAGCCTTTCTGTTTCTTATATATTTTTTAATTTAGATTTTCCACCAAGTATAAGTGGCTTTTCAAACTTCGCATTGGAGGTTATATCTTGTAGTTGGATATTTTTTGTTAACATGTTACTTCTCCTCTTTCTATTGAAGTCAATATAGCCTCGTGTAGAAACTAACACCTAATCATCTCAACTAACTTCCACTTGTCTTATTTATCATTATGCTGTTTATTGTGAAAGGAGCAAAAACCGGGGCAGAAACCAATCTATTATCCTTGACAAAGCATATTTCTTATTTTTAACACATTCCGCTATTCTTGGTAAACCAAATTGCTTTCTTAAAGATGTATTTTTATACCATTTGCTAAATGTCAGTAGCACTTTCTAATTTTCTGACAAAGTGTTTTAAAAAAAATTTCTATGCTGAAGTGCGCCCTGCAATAGTGCGGGCCTCTGAAAGTGTCTTCATGATTCTGTTTAAAGTGTATTATGTTCTCTTGGGTTGTGGCAACTCATTATAGGTCTCATTATGTCTGTTCTTCAGTCATTTTCAGTGCAAACTAGCTTTCCTGTCCTTTTGGGATGAAGTTGCTTGTAAATCTGGTTCTATGTTAATTCTAGTGCACTTTGAACTTCCATTCCGTGCTTCAGAAGACAAATGATCTTGCTTAAATGCTTCTCAAGAAGATTATTTATTTTGATGCAATGGTCAAATTAGTTATTTCTTCAACTTGTGGAGTTATTGCTTTCGTCTAGCTTGATGATCACTTTGATTTTTTGGCTTCGCTAACATAACATACATATTACTTGTATTCTATATGTACCTTGAATTTACGGTCAAACTATTGTATTCATTGTCTTTATTGTCTTTTGAGTTCCGACTTGTGGGCTTATAGTGATTTCTGAGAGGAATTAATGAATCATCATTGTTCAATGCCCTTGATATGCAAAATTACAGGTCTTCAAAAGATTTCCACGATATGCATGGCCTGATAATGCACACGTACAACTCAGATAATGCTGACTTGCGTGTGGATCATTTGGGCTTGTATAAAGCTCTTTGTGTATTAATGGGATGGAATTACTCGAAGCCTCCTGATAACTCTAAAGCCTATCAGTTTTTACCTCCTGATGAAGCAGCAGCAAATCAGGATGATATGATTATATGGCCACCCACTGTGATAATTCATAATACAATTACGGGGAAGGGTAAAGATGGGCGCATGGAAGGATTGGGAAACAAAGCAATGGATAAAACAATAAGAGGTATAATGTGCCCCTTCATTTCTTTATCATTGTAATTGCTATGTACACTGGTATTATTTGGACATCTGTTAATCACAAGTCCCCTGTCTATAGGTTGTGCTTTGTATTTCCATTATCCGGTAGATTCTGATTGATATCATATAATTGTTATATCAATCTGAAACCATTTTGGTTTGACTCATGTTTTTTGAAAGATATATGCTATCTTGTAACCTATGAATAGCCATGACTAACAGTCATTTTTTTGAAACTTCTCTGACCTATCACTCCTTCACTTGGTGACGACACCACTACATATCAACTGAGACAGGTTTTCAGCATAGAAAAAGCAACCTTGGCGAGTGGTAAGATGGTGTTTTTGATTCACTAAGGAGCACAACTTGCTTGTGCTGAAGGGTTCTATTTTGTCTTTGCACCACTGTTGTCATTAATTATTGTTACTTTGATCAGACAATTTGTGGGGATATTTTTTGTTTCGTATTACATTTTCTTAAGAAGGAAGACGACCTAGAGCTGCCTGGTGAACATGGACATGTGTAGCTGTCCCTTAGTGTGTGTGATTATGACTTTGTGGAGTCTTCCATATACACTTTATTTGTCCTCTTTTTCCTTCTTTCTTTCTCCTACTGTCCTACAGTGACCTTGAGCCTGCAGCCCTAATTGTTATCCATATTTGACAGTCTTCTTCACTTCTTTTTTGTTCATGTTATTTGATAACTAATTTAGTTACTTGTTTTATTATCAGTCTCAATGCTTTATTAAACTAATTGCTTGAGAATCTATTTGGATCATGGAGTGTACTCTGTGCATGCATACATATTGGCTTATCATGTTCTGTAAGAATTCTTATTTGAGAGGTTAAATATTGCCGTGCGTTACATTTTGTTAATACTAGGGTCCCCATAATTTATTGTGTTGGTTGTCTTGCTTATTCTGTGAGGTGATACAGTTTTATTGCTTTTCTTTTTTATCCCTAATTTGTTTAGGGACCTTATTGTTCCTGATTTTTTTATTTATTTTTGGTTATCTGATCTTCTGAATTGCTCTTGCAATTGGTGAGACCTCTTTATTCTCTTGACACAAGTATACTATACTACGTTCTCAGCCATTTCTGGTGAATTGTCCCTTGGATTTATGTAATCTGTAGATGAGTCCTGACTTGAATCACCCACATTTAAAGAGTTTCATATAACATTTTCTGTGGATACATATGTTTCTGTGTTTTCTTTTCTTTTCTTTTCTTTTCTTTTTGTAATAGACACAAGAGTGCTTAAAAGATAGGACAGGAGACTTCATGATTTATTGTCAGCTTTTGGGGAAAGTTTATGTATGTTAAATCATTGGGGAAATTGACTGACGTTAAGTGGTTGTGAGATATATGCTGGGTCCTCTCAGCAGATATGTGTATCTAGTTGGAGACTTTAAGCACCAGGTTGTAATCAAGTATAGGCTGTGAGGTGGCAAATTTCAGTGATTGGCCCAAGATTGCCGGGATTCACCAAAAGACTCAAATCAGGCCTAGCTTAAACTTCCTGTTAGGTTTGGGTTAACCCTTGAGCCAATCAAGATAAAAGGACTTGAAGCCTTACTGCAAAATTGTTGGGCTAAGCCATTATTAATGATTTACCTGTGAAGCTTCTCTAGCTTAAGTTGCATAATAATATATTCAAGTGCTTTTATTGTTTTTGAAGACTTTGATATTGCTTATTTGCCTCTTTATTATTTTATTTGCTTTTTCATTTTTCCCCTCTGATCAATGTGATAGTGATAAGAACTCTGCAGGCATGCACGTTTCAGTAAGGGTGACTAATGAGTTGTTACTAATCTTTCCATATACTAAAGCTCTTATGTCACAACTTGCATTTTATGTGCTTCTTCACATCATATTGGAGTCTTTGAAACCTGCCCCTTGCTTTTATTTCAATAAACAAGAGACATCAACATTGCTTTGAAGTTTTTATTGTTAAGCAACTGACATTTTCAGAAAACAAGGAATTTAGAAACTCTAGAGAGATTGGCAACTAGCGAGAACAGTCAAATAGTAACCTGTTGAAAATTGATGCATTGGCAGTCAGACGGTTGCATGTTCTTTTTTCCCTTATTACTCTATCTACTGTTTGACCATCTAAAAGTATTTCTTGTTCCCTGGAAAAAAAGTCAGAAGTATGTGTTGGGACATGCCGTATCAAGCTGAGTCCATTATTAGCTTGCATCACTTAAATATATATTGATTGTAATTTTTCTTACAATTCATAAATCAGATCAAACTGCATGTTGGATTTATAGTGGTAAACCAATCTGATTCGGATTTGCCAATTTTGGGTGGGTTTGATTAGCTACTTTAGTCATTTTGTGGCACATTATTTATGTTCCTACTTAGTTTTTGCCAAACTTGTCATAACTGGGATTAGTTTTTGGCTTGGAGATGGTGTTAGGAATCTTGAGTGAGGACTACATGCCACAGGGTATTCAAATTGGGGGGAAACCAACTTCGTTTGGCGTCCTTATGCCAGTTGTAGGTTTTTGAGACAGCCCTAAAGTATAGTCATTTAGTAGGGGTTGAATGCATAGGTTGGCTTTATTGTCTGCAGTTTATAACTAGGTCTACATATCGTGCAGTTCATAGGTGATGAATGTGTGACTTTGCTAAACGTATTTATGTGATTGCTTTTCAATTTGTGAGTTTTTTTTTTTTTTTTGGTAGCCGGTTTTTCATCTAAATTTCTATATAGGATCATGCTTCTTCTTCCTCCCTTTTTCTCCCCGTTGATCATCTTTGCTGTGTAAAAATATAGAGTAGCCTATAGAAATGTTGCTGATTGTTATATGCTTTCTTTCATCTGCAAAAGGTTGTTTCCTGTTTTCGAGATTTCAAAATTTTGAGCCTTGGTGACGATGGCTTGATATTTGCATGTTACTTTGTAATGTCAACTGCTCTCTCCGTGTCTTTCATAACAATCAAGCTATCTAAGTTTTTCTCTGCATCTCATAATAGTTGGGGTGGTGGATCATGGTTGAACTTTCTTCTTATGGGGTTGTGTAACTTCTGAAGCTGATCTTTGCGGCATAAATCATTGTCTTGAATTATCGGTTATCTATGGAATCTTGTAGATACATCATAATCTGCTCATGATAATCTTGATGTACTTTACTGTATACTCAAGTTCAAACAGTGAAGTTCTTTTGTCATCTTTTCATTGCTTCTGTTTGGTTTCTTCAGATCTCGGTTTTGGAAGTGGCAAGTCAAAATCATTGTATGGAAGGGAGGGTCATCTGGGCATCACTCTTGTAAAGTTTGCAGGTGATCAATTAGGGCTAAGGGATGCCTTGCATTTGGCAGAATACTTTGAGAAGGACAATCGTGGACGCAAGGTCTGGTCTCGTGTGCAGCCCATGATGTTGGGCAAAGATGATCAGAATAATCCAAGTCTTTTGACGGTGGATCCAAGGACCGGAGAGAAAAAGAGGATCTTGTATGGCTATCTCGGAACTGCTAATGATCTGGACAAGGTTGATTCTGAAACAAGGAAGAAGGTTGTGATTGGGAGCCAGAGGGAACTCAAAGTATCCAAGTAACTTATGGGTACATTCCAAGGTATATTCAACTGTATCTTAGCGTATAAATTGTCACCTACTTTATGAGTCACTGATGGATGCCTAATTATTATTATTTTATTTTTTTTGTTTGTCTGATAGCGTGGAAGGTCATGGGAGGTTAACGATGTTTGATTGCTAACAGTATTTGAGGTTAAGATGTGGCATCCTCAACTATTTATAATGTTACACCATTTGTCGTGCAATATTTGATTGGCAATAGGCATTAATGGTTAATCTTAATATAGGCTTTCTGAGCTGCCCGTTCTTTTTTTCTTAGTATAAAATATCGTTCTTCCCCTCTCTCGCCTGTTTGTTGCAGTGTTGTTTAGACTTTAGATTTGAGTAGGATTTCCTCTAACAAGCCCGAATTTGAATAGCAAAAAATAAGGCTCGACTTCTGTATAGCTCTTCGCCAAACTTAGAATGTAACTGACTAATTGCTAAGAACTCTAATAACGAAAACCTTTTCTTCACACTAAAGACTCAGAACAAGGAATTCGGGGCAGCTGCCTCTGGTAATTATAATCTTATGGATTGGAAATCAATGAGGAAAAAAAAAAAAAAAAAGATTGGAAATCAATGAGGAAAAAAAAAAAAAAAAAGTATCTTCAAGTATGTTCTTGGGGCCAGATGGCATTGATTGAGGCCCTTATTCGAAGCACAGATTTCTAGTATCGCCCAAAAACAGTAATGACTTCCCATGTAGATGTACTAGTACTGAAGAATTAATGAAATGTTTTTTTAACTAGGTTCAGCTGTGCAGAGAGAAATGGTGGGTGGGAATGGGATGGCTGATGTTCTTAATGTTTAAATGTCTTTTTCTATTAAATTCGAGTGTTGGTTGTCCTGGCAATGGCAAAGCCTTAAAGAGGACTACTACTGTGTGTTGCGATAAGCTTTGTCTGGCCCTCTTTGTCTACTCTACTGCAACTAAAGTAATAAACATTACAGTGTGTGAGATGCTTGGATGATTCAATTATATGGATGTGATGTCCACCATCTTGCTTGAGGCTGTAGCCGTGGACCATACCAGAATTTTTCACAAGATTGAAGGCATAAATTCTTTTAAAAAATTTACCTGTTAAACATGGGAGCTTGAATTTAGCTGGCAATTCATTTTAGACGTTTATCACAAGATCAAAGACTATATTGTTAGATTATGATGGGATGAAAACTGTGGGCTATTGATATGGTTTGATTCTAAGCATTTCAAAGAAACATGCATCAGCATGATGAATTGTCGGCAAATCAAATCCGAATATGTCAAATTCTTTAAACCCTCCTAATAAATCCACCTTAATGAGTTGCATTAATTCTTTGATTTGTTGCCAACCCTGTATGAAAAAAAATCAAAGCCAGACAAACAATGACTCCACCTTCCTGTTAAAAACCTCAACCATGATGGACCCCCTCGGGCTTTGAGTCACCTCTGTTTGTGCCTATTGAGGAAAGTTGGTTTGCCCATTTAGTAAACCTTTATACTTATCTGGCATTGACATCCACCCAATTAATCTCAATCTGAGGCTTAATTTCAACACCACCACTTTTGGTAACCAGTCAAATTATACATGCATGAATGGAATGATTGTTTATTTTGAAAATTTTGTTTCAAACTTCAATGCAAGGATAAGTATCAACTACTAACTAGCTTGAATTTTTAACCTCCCTTTCCTTTCCTGGACCTACCATTTTGTGGGCCTTCTTGTTTACGTGTTCTACAGCTTAAATGCTCCCTTTATTCTTTTATTTACGTCTTAATCACATTTACATTTGCCTTTGCTATTTGAAATAAATAAAATTACACTTCTCTTTCTCAGGAATGCATCTTCTAGATGTGTTCTTACAACACAAGTTTTTCATTAAAAACATATCTTAAATTTATCACATGTCTTACAAAATAATCCCCTTTTACATTCTACCTGTTTATAAATGGGGGAAAAAAAAAAAAAAAAAAGAAGAAGACAGAAATGGGTGCGTGCGCATGCCCGATAAAATCTGGAATGAGCAGTGTTGAGGGTGATGCAGCACTGTAACTTGTACCAGAAGAAGAACAGTAAATAAAACTACCATAATATATATAAAAATAGTCCGGCAATGTCTTTACTTTATCTGACTCCTCCCATGTGGTGGTCACAGTGGGCCTGGCCCACCCCACACCCACTCTACTTTCCCACCTTTTCCTCTCTCTGTCTCTCTCCCTCTTTGCTTTTTTATTTTTACGATCTCTCTTCGGTTTCCGGGAAAGCATAATCACTTCTCATTCACACCATCTTCCAAACACTCCCTTATCTTACATCATCATCATCATCATCCTCGTCCTCGTCCTCTTCCTCTTCCCGACCCACTTACCTTATCCTACGCACCCCCTGCGCATTCTAGATCCTACTTTGCCCCACCTTCCCCTTTTTACAGTCTCTCTTCCACGTGGTTTTATAATAACCGTCCACGTCCTCACCCCTGGTTTTGTTTTTTAACGTATCTACTTAACTTTATCATTTCGACCTCTCTCTCTCTCTCTCTCTCTCTTTCTACGTTTCTAGGGTTCGGTTTTGGTTTATTTTCTTTCTTGTTGTTAACTCAGTTACTGAGTCACCAAACCAAGAAAATCGAATCAACCACCCTTAACCATGGGGTCGATCCCCGATCCTGGCGAGTTAACAGAGTTGACTCCGCCTAGCTTTGACGAGTTCCAGCGTCAAACCTCATTAATGACCAGCTGTACTCTCCTTTGGAAGGAGCTTTCTGATCACTTCACTTCTCTTGAACAAAACATCCTGAAAAAATCTGCTGCGCTTAAACACAAGATACAAACCCTAGACACTGAAACAAAAGCTTCCTTGGATGTTCTGAAGAAGCGAGAGGTCACCATCGACGGCAGCGTCGAGATCGCTTTAGAGAAGCTGGAAGAACGCACTGAGGCTGCCTTGAGTAACCTGAATTCTCCGTCGCAACAGAAGGAATTCAACAACCCCGACGGCGAAGTTGACGACGGCGACGCATTGTTGATGATATTGAAGAATTATTGTCTTAAAATGGAGGCAAGAGAGTTCTGGAAGTTTGTGACTACTAAAAAGAAAGAAATAGACGAGATGAGAAATGTATTACCGGTCGCACTAACTGAATGCGTTGATCCCGCGAAGTTTGCCATGGAAGCTATATCCGAGGTCTTTCCTGTGGACAAAAGGAAAGATAAGAGTAGCAATGATTTGGGATGGGCTTGCGTGTTGGTGTTGGAGAGTTTGATACCGGTGGTGGTTGACCCGGTGATAGGGAAGTCGAGGTTGTTGGTGACGCCGACTGTGAAGGCGAAAGCCAAAGAGATCGCTGAGACTTGGAAGGCGAGCCTGGAGGAGAGAGGTGGGATTGAGAACGTGAAGACGCCTGACGTGCACACCTTTTTGCAGCATCTCGTTACGTTTGGGATTGTTAAGAAGGAGGATGTCAACTTGTACCGGAAGCTTGTGGTTGGCTCCGCCTGGCGGAAGCAGATGCCGAAACTCGCCGTTTCGCTTGGTTTGGGTGATAAAATGCCTGGTATGTTGGTTTTATGCTATCTATTCTGCTTCTCTTACTTACTGAGTGGCTAGGTATTTACCCTTATCTATTTTTAAGTTTATTATTCTCTTCTATCCGCTTTTAGTTACTATGATTTCAGCTTATTTTTAAGAGTTACATGATTTAAAGAGGGCAATGTTGATTTTAATTTCCAGACTAGGCTGCACAATTAGTTGCTCCCTGCAACGCTAGTACGGAATATTGTTTTGGGATATAATTTAACTATATTTTTAGTTTCTTGTTACGGTGTTTTGAGACTGTTTGTTTTTTTTTTCAAATTGGAAGAAGAGGACGATACTGGTTATTTGTTTGTCTTGCTGGCTGCCTGTCCCTGGTTAGAATTTTGGCTCGTCAGTATGAAATTAGATCCTGTGGCTAGCATAACCTTGTTTGTGTTCTGCTTGTCTATTTTTATGCACATAACATGTGCATATATAATATTTCAATTCAGGAGTTCACGTCAATAACGTATTTATAGCTGTAGTTTGGATATTCCCACAATCCATGTTGGTTTATCATGTGTTTATTGATATAATCCGTTCAAATTTGGAGGTGCTGTGATTTATCTTCTAATGCTTTATTTGTTGCTGTCAATTAATATGCCCAGAGATGATTGAAGAATTAATCAGCAGGGGACAACAGCTTGATGCAGTGCATTTTACATACGAGGTTGGCCTCGTGGGCAGGTTCCCCCCAGTTCCTCTACTTAAAGCTTTTCTGAAGGATGCAAAGAAGGCGGCTGCATCTATTTTGGAGGATCCCAATAATGCTGGCCGAGCTGGGGTATGAGTTTTCTTTTTCCCTTTATTTAGTTCCTTTAACTGAGTTGTTATTCAATTTTATGGAGTTGGATGACCTTCTCTTGACTGGATATTGGATTCTAGGTCTTACTCCAGGTGATGCTCATGCTTAGCACTTAGTTTATTCTTTCACTTTGTGGTGGCTACTTGTGTAGGAATAGCTTCAAAGTTTACATGAAATGTTTTTTTTGAGACAATATAGAGGGTTTCTTTCACTTTGTGGTTCTACTCATGCAAGAATTTTCTAAGCTGCCATTTAGAATACTTGTTAATCCAAATATATGACCTAAACAAGGCATTCTATAGTACTTTTATTAAGATGTTGATGACAAGATAAACTACCAATTTTTTCACATATGTAGAACCTTTGATTAGTTGGAGAGTGGAGGCTATAGAAGTGGGTAACATTTAATACTTTCTCTAATGTGTAGTGGCGCCTCAAAAATGGGTGTCTATTTTTTCGACTAATTAACGTTGTTTTTATCCAATTCAGCACCTTGCTGCACGCAAAGAGCAGTCAGCTCTCCGGGCTGTCATCAAGTGCATTGAAGAGTACAAACTTGGAGCTGAGTTTCCTCCAGAAAATCTCAAGAAGCGTCTTGAGCAGCTGGAGAAGGCCAAGATCGAGAAGAAAAGGCCGGCTGCTGTCCCTGCCACTAAGCGTACACGGGCTAGCAATGGTGGTCCAATGCCTCCTGCCAAGGCTGGTCGTTTGACAAATGCATATGTATCATCTTTCCCTGCACCACCCACCTTTGTTAGGTCTCCTTCACACACTCAATACCCTGCTGGGGTTTCTCCATACGCATCACCACCTGCCGTGTATGGTAACAGGAGCCCACCAACAAATCCATATGCATACTCACCAGAAGCAGCCCCTCCTCTTGCTGGATCCTATCCAGGAGCTCCGATGAACTATCCTGCATACGGGGGCTATGGCGCCGGTTTGGCACCAGCTTATCAGCAGGCTTACTACCGATAGACATGACTACTCTTTGAAGATGGTAACCACTGATATGATGACCCAATCTCATTTGCTTTCTTAATGGTTTGTAATCCACTAACCGTTTTAATGTTAGCAATGGCTGTGTGTTAATTATAACTGTTATCCTACTTCTTGCTATGTCGCGGTGAGAAGTGTTTCTAATGTTGATCAAACTTTTTAGTACTAGGTGATTGTGGAAAAGTACATGATGGCATCATAACAATGTTAAGACTCAATCATCACCAATGTTGTAGATTAGTTGTAGAAAGACTATGCTGTTTTGTGTTGATCTGTCTTACTNGCTTTTAGTTACTATGATTTCAGCTTATTTTTAAGAGTTACATGATTTAAAGAGGGCAATGTTGATTTTAATTTCCAGACTAGGCTGCACAATTAGTTGCTCCCTGCAACGCTAGTACGGAATATTGTTTTGGGATATAATTTAACTATATTTTTAGTTTCTTGTTACGGTGTTTTGAGACTGTTTGTTTTTTTTTTCAAATTGGAAGAAGAGGACGATACTGGTTATTTGTTTGTCTTGCTGGCTGCCTGTCCCTGGTTAGAATTTTGGCTCGTCAGTATGAAATTAGATCCTGTGGCTAGCATAACCTTGTTTGTGTTCTGCTTGTCTATTTTTATGCACATAACATGTGCATATATAATATTTCAATTCAGGAGTTCACGTCAATAACGTATTTATAGCTGTAGTTTGGATATTCCCACAATCCATGTTGGTTTATCATGTGTTTATTGATATAATCCGTTCAAATTTGGAGGTGCTGTGATTTATCTTCTAATGCTTTATTTGTTGCTGTCAATTAATATGCCCAGAGATGATTGAAGAATTAATCAGCAGGGGACAACAGCTTGATGCAGTGCATTTTACATACGAGGTTGGCCTCGTGGGCAGGTTCCCCCCAGTTCCTCTACTTAAAGCTTTTCTGAAGGATGCAAAGAAGGCGGCTGCATCTATTTTGGAGGATCCCAATAATGCTGGCCGAGCTGGGGTATGAGTTTTCTTTTTCCCTTTATTTAGTTCCTTTAACTGAGTTGTTATTCAATTTTATGGAGTTGGATGACCTTCTCTTGACTGGATATTGGATTCTAGGTCTTACTCCAGGTGATGCTCATGCTTAGCACTTAGTTTATTCTTTCACTTTGTGGTGGCTACTTGTGTAGGAATAGCTTCAAAGTTTACATGAAATGTTTTTTTTGAGACAATATAGAGGGTTTCTTTCACTTTGTGGTTCTACTCATGCAAGAATTTTCTAAGCTGCCATTTAGAATACTTGTTAATCCAAATATATGACCTAAACAAGGCATTCTATAGTACTTTTATTAAGATGTTGATGACAAGATAAACTACCAATTTTTTCACATATGTAGAACCTTTGATTAGTTGGAGAGTGGAGGCTATAGAAGTGGGTAACATTTAATACTTTCTCTAATGTGTAGTGGCGCCTCAAAAATGGGTGTCTATTTTTTCGACTAATTAACGTTGTTTTTATCCAATTCAGCACCTTGCTGCACGCAAAGAGCAGTCAGCTCTCCGGGCTGTCATCAAGTGCATTGAAGAGTACAAACTTGGAGCTGAGTTTCCTCCAGAAAATCTCAAGAAGCGTCTTGAGCAGCTGGAGAAGGCCAAGATCGAGAAGAAAAGGCCGGCTGCTGTCCCTGCCACTAAGCGTACACGGGCTAGCAATGGTGGTCCAATGCCTCCTGCCAAGGCTGGTCGTTTGACAAATGCATATGTATCATCTTTCCCTGCACCACCCACCTTTGTTAGGTCTCCTTCACACACTCAATACCCTGCTGGGGTTTCTCCATACGCATCACCACCTGCCGTGTATGGTAACAGGAGCCCACCAACAAATCCATATGCATACTCACCAGAAGCAGCCCCTCCTCTTGCTGGATCCTATCCAGGAGCTCCGATGAACTATCCTGCATACGGGGGCTATGGCGCCGGTTTGGCACCAGCTTATCAGCAGGCTTACTACCGATAGACATGACTACTCTTTGAAGATGGTAACCACTGATATGATGACCCAATCTCATTTGCTTTCTTAATGGTTTGTAATCCACTAACCGTTTTAATGTTAGCAATGGCTGTGTGTTAATTATAACTGTTATCCTACTTCTTGCTATGTCGCGGTGAGAAGTGTTTCTAATGTTGATCAAACTTTTAGTACTAGGTGATTGTGGAAAAGTACATGATGGCATCATAACAATGTTAAGACTCAATCATCACCAATGTTGTAGATTAGTTGTAGAAAGACTATGCTGTTTTGTGTTGATCTGTCTTACTCTTTTTTTTTTCAAATTTTTGGGTTCGATTTGGAACAAATGCACATCCAACCAAGGCAGGCAATTTTGTTTAATCATGGTTGGATGGTATTTTGAGTCCAGTGGAGACCCTGACTTGATCAGTTGATTGTTAGGAACATGTGAGTCCAACTTTGCTTGATCACACAGCATTTAAGTGTCCAGCTCATTATACAGGCTGTTTGATTGATTGCTATTAAAATGGTGGAGACATGAAAAAAAAAATTCTTAATTTCCAGGGTCAGGTAGGGCCAAGATGACTGGTATATTATTTCATGTATATGTCGGCGAGACTAAACGCTTAAGAGATTAGAAATTTTTGTGATGATTAGTTAATTCCCCTTCCTGCTGATTACTTTTTTGGAATTTGAAAATCCCAACACTGTCGGAATGTCTTAAAACACCGAGTCTTCGTTTACCGTGGTCTTCCGTGATATGTGGCCGACACACTAGTACCGATTTAGAAAAATTCTCGTTATGCACGAAAGCACCCATATGCATTATCAATCTTATTCCACGTTATGCACTGATATTCTAAATTGAATCTTATTTTGGAAGAAGCTTTGGGGATATTATAAGATGTTTTCATATTGATATCCCTCAGCTATGGAGTGAAAACTGCTGGCCAATGGGCAAAATAGAATTTCTATAAAGAGAATGTCACCACACTTCCTCGACCAGCGCTTACCTAAACCGGTACTTGCACCGACCTGGAACACGCCACAACCCTAAACCGGCACTGCGATCAACCTTTAACAACGTCGCAGTACTAAATCAGCACTAGTAGAAGCAACATACCGACGTTATTAGTTCCTAACATAGGCAGAAACGTAAGCTTTAATGTCCAATCAAGAAATGCCAACGCTTAACATCCCCACCACGCAGTAAACGTTGGCATTTAATAATACTCGAAAATTAATGTATTAAAGTTGAGAGTTTGATTTCTTTTTTTACCAGTAATAAATTTCCTTAGTTAAATTTCGCTTTATTATAAAATAACGTAACAATCTGCATATGTTTTATAACACAAATTTTGCCAAAATTACTTTTTTCTTTACCAATTTTAAGTTAGAACACCTTAAATATAATATAACTTATATAAGTGTATATCTTATTATTATAATTGCTCTTTATAACGAGTGTTTGTGTCGTTTGAAACACTTGCTTGATTTGTACGTACACATCTTCATTCCTTATCATATTCCCGTTGTTCCCACACAAACACTCAATTGAACCAACCTTTATCAAGAAGCCAAGCACCAGAAATCTTTCAGTTTTCATCTTTTTCTTTTCATGGATCTTCACATTTACGTGCCATCTTTGTTATTGGCGTACTGCACGCACGAGGTTAATCACTAGTTGCCCACCAACCGTTTGTTGTTTTGTTGCTATGGAACTCGTAATGTCTATCGAATCCATTCATATAATATTATAGCTGTTATCATCATACCAACCCGGAAGTGAAAATGACAATTTTTTTATTGAGAAGAAGCTCTACTATCAAGTCACTTGTAACGAGTTTTCATTTCCTCACAAAGGTCTCTAGTTTCTGCTCAAGGGCTCCCAGAAATATTGATAAGGAAAATGAAAGCAAAACTACATCCACGCACTACTCTTCTAGGATTCATCTCTCACCATTATTCAGTGACAGGACACCTCATTCTGATGGTTATGATATTGAGCTTGTAGACGATGATACTTGGCAAGTTTCAGCAGGTTTAGCGCATGCGTGGCGTGGTTTGGATGACGACATGAAAGCAAAACCTTTTGTGAACGCAATGGATGATGATTCAACATCTTTTGAGGATGACACTGATTTTGATGAGATTGATAATTTGAGAATTCGGGGTGATCTTTTTTATAAACTTGATAAAGATTCCAAAGAATTCGAAGAATATAGTTTTGATTTCCATAGAAGGAAGTCTTCGAAGATAAGGAAAGATGAAAAAGAAAGCGAAAAGAAGGAAGCTTCAAAAGGAAAGAGTGATCTTAAAGAAAGAAAAACGAAGGTGGCTTCAGAAAGAGAGAATCATGTTGGAACTGAGAAAAGCAAAATGAAGATGAACCAACGTCAAGATTTTGCCTCCGGTGGTAAAGAATTATACAAGGGTGTGGTGAATGAACGTCTAAGTAACATGGAGAGTTGTTATGTGGATAAAAAGAAGGTTAGGACTCCGACTTTTAATCAGCTCACGGCTCCTTACCATGAACCATTCTGTCTGGATATTTACATATCGAAAGCCTCTGTTCGTGCCTGCATTGTTCATCGGGTTACTAGTAAAGTGGTTGCTGTAGCACATTCTATATCCAAGGATATGAAATTTGACCTGGGTTCAACTAGGAATGCAACTGCTTGTGCTGCAGTGGGAGGTATTTTAGCTCAAAGGGCTTTGGCGGATGACATTCATGATGTGGTTTACACGCCAAGAAAAGGAGAGAGGTTGGAGGGAAAGCTCCAGATTGTGCTTCAGGCTCTTCTTGATAATGGTGTTAATGTAAGGGTGAAGCTCAAGCAGAGAAAAGCCAAAAAGGTCGGCTATCCGTCTGCTTTTTAGAAGTATTTGCTACCTGTTTATCAATGTCTGTTGTGATTATAGAATGTGCTTCCCTTTGAAGAACATTATTCAAGGTCACTTAGCAGTAAGATCTACTTATTGTGATGCATGTGCTTCAAGCTACGCTGCGATGTAAGAGTGAAAGAAGGTGGAAATAGCCTAGACATTTCAAGCAACACAATGTTCACTATTGGGATTTGCTCCTTAGAGAAAGAACAATCTACTTCCTTGTGCTGTTGATATGAGTGCGATAGTGTTGAAGGCTGTCTATTAGATATCACTTCATTAATTGTATCCACAAGTTGTTATATATGAAGTAAAAACTTTAAATCATATCTGAAAATTATTTTTCATATCGCAAGTTTTGCCCAGCTTCTGTTAGTGCTATCGGATAAATCACCATTGCTACCCTTACACCCAATAATATTAGAATATGCTATCCTTTGAAATATAGAATTATATGTAAGGCAACTGGTGAGCATCAAGAAGTAGTCTTCCCCCGCCAGATAACAAATTAACAAAAATGGCAGACCAATTATATATCCAGTCAATTTTACAGAAATACAAGCAACTAAGTGGCCTAATAGGATAGGATAAAAAATCAAGATAATTAGAATGTCAAAACGATCTAAAGTCCTCACTGTCATGTGAATTATTTTATTAAAAATCACAACACAGGATGAACAAAATTAGAACTTCAGATTCAGCATCTAACCCATTACAACATTCAATCATTAGCAGTTGCAAGTTGCAGAGACAGCAGCTCATCCTCAGGAATGGTTTTAATAGTACAATCTGATCGGGGATAAGAGGCACATAACAGTGCATAGCCACGCTCCACCACATCGTCACTGAGCATACCATCACTCTGATCAACGGAGCCACTGATAAGTTTAGCAGGGCAAGTCATGCACACTCCGAGCTTGCAGTCATGAGGCACATCCAAACCAGAGTCCAACGCCTTGGATAGTATGGTCTCATCAGGCTCCACCTCTAGCTCTGTGGACGCACCCTCGTGCTCAATCACCACTTTGTAAGACCTCACAATGCTCGATTGTAATCTATATCTGTGTGAGCCTAAGCGGTTTCTGGGGCTAAAGAGAGAGAAATGGAGCTTGGTGCTGGTGGGGTGCTTTTGTTTTGTTAGAATGAAGGAAGAAGATGGAGATAAATGAAGGGTTGCCATGATTTTGTTTGCCTAGAGAGAGACCAGAAGGGAGCGCTTCTCCACTGTTTTGGAAAAGATAAGGTTAGGTTATGTTTAGTTGTTTACTTCTCTAATCTTGTTGGCTCAACTTCAGCAGCTCGATATATCATATGTATTATTGCTCATTTTTACTTTTTTTCTTTTTAATATAAAAATGAAATTGAATTTGCTCGAAAATTGAAAAGATTGAAGATATCTTTAGATAATAACTTCTTTTTTTTCTTGTTGAAACTACTTTCAATATTTTTTATTACATTTTTAGATATTAAGAACTTTTTTCCCATATAGTTACCAAATTTTTTGAAAAAAATTGAAATATAAAGCTTCTTGTTTTATAAAAAAAATATTCTGGTAAGAATTCTTAATGCATCCAAGATGTTAATAATGGTAACAAGGGGCTCCCGTTATACCTACAAGTATATATTATCTGCAAATATTAATTAATTTATGAAATATATTTATTTTTGTGAGCATTTTAGTTTCTTTTATTATCATTCTGTTTCATGCTCGAAATTTGCCGTTATTACTTTGGCATAAGATTGGTCATTGTACATTTGCGGTTAAATTGACACCCAATCCAGGTCAGGTTCAATTGAATCCATTCATTTTCTTCTTCTTCTTCCTATGTGACGGTAGTATAAATCCCCGTTCAGTATACAGCAGACGCCACGCCTTTACGAAGTTATTATCAAGGTTACTACTAGTTTTTTATTGTATATATTCAACTTTAAAAAAAAAAAAAAAAAATATCTCTATAGTTTTATATTCATTAATAAAGAGATTTGATTTTCCGAAGAGGTTTTATAAGGGTCAAAGACAATAATTTTTATAAATTATGTTTGGCCGGTAAGAAAATTGAGTGAGACTGAAGGAAATAAGCCTTTTTTTTTTTTGGCGAAAAAAAATGAGTTTAGAGGCATGAGTGGTTTTATCAGATTAAACGATAAACTTATACTTCCTTGATACTTTTTTTCTTTAATTAATTGCAGTAATGGGAAAAATGGGAGTTGGGAATTGCGAAATTGCGAAAGATGTGACAGAAGTAAGTTGTTTAAATTGGCGCGTAATTAATTGTTAGCTATGTATACAGTGTGGAGTATGGAAAGGTTTGAATTGTAAGGAAAGGTTTGAATTGTAATGTACTTTTGTTTGCAGTTAATTGGCAAGACTCCTCTGGTGTATCTGAATCAGGTTGTGGATGGTTGTGTTGCCCGTATTGCTGCTAAACTAGAGATGATGGAACCTTGCTCCAGTGTCAAAGACAGGTTTTGTTAAATCCTATTGATTATTGCAATTTCCTCTAGTTTTGAAGAAATGATTTCACCATTCCTTGAGCTAGAATTTTCGGTTTTCAGTATAAATTATTGGGTTGTGGCCTTTAGTTTCAAAATCTTAAATCTTGTCACAAATGTGCAGGATTAGTTACAGTATGATTGCGGACGCAGAGGCCAAAGGTCTTATCACACCGGGGAAGGTTGGTAGCTTTTTTTTTATTTTTTTATTTATTTTTTTCAATTTTTCTTTTTACGTGTAGTGTAGTATAGAAACTTATGGCGGGTACGTTATTTGAGAAAGAGCAATGCTAGTTTTACAAAGATACGTATAAAGAGGACATACAAAGACAATCTCTACCCTTGATTTTCATGATTTCTCTCTCTCTCTTTCCGTTTTTTCTTTAATTTTTTCTTTTAGATGCTATCACTTTGTAGTCCTCTTTGTATGGGTCTTTGTAAAGATTGCATTTATCCTTTTGTAACAAGGAATTGGTGTGTAACCATTCTAATCGTTGTTTGATCTTTGTGCATACCCTTTTGGGGTTTTTTTAATGTATGATGGTTGTTGAAGAGTGTCCTCATTGAACCAACCAGTGGAAATACTGGGATAGGGTTGGCATTCATGGCGGCAGCCAAGCACTATAAGCTTATCATTACAATGCCTGCTTCAATCAGTATTGAAGGAAGAATTATTCTTCAAGCTTTTGGAGCTGAGATTGTTCTCACTGATCCTGCTAAAGGGATGAAGGGGCTGTTCAAAAGGCACAGGAGATTTTGGCTAAGACACGAAATGCTTACATACTGCAGCAGTTTGAAAATCCAGCCAACCCAAAGGTACTTTTCTCAAGTAATAATAAAGAAGATGTAGTTGGTAGTTCTAAAAGTTTTACTAATATATGTCAATAGTGTGGATCCATTATGAAACTACTGGACCAGAGATATGGAAAGGCTCAGGAGGGAAAGTCGATGCCTTTGTTTCTGGAATTGGTACTGGTGGCACAATAACAGGCACAGGGAAATTTCTTAAAGAACAGAACCACAAGATAAAGGTAAGATAATTGTTTAATTTCAAAAATCAATCCATATTGAAACAAATTTATGTTGTTTCAGAAAGTAACAAAAACTGTAATTTTGTCTCTTAAAAATACTAATGTTATTTGTGTCTACTACTGTAAATGTTTGCTCCTCTTGGACAGTCATTTGACATCTCATTGCTTTACTTTTGTATGTAGCTATATGGTGTGGAGCCACTTGAAAGTCCTGTTCTATCTGGTGGAAACCCTGGTGAGTTGTATCTCTAATGCCTACATTCCTTTAATGATCTCATCTCTTTGCATTTTCCGGTCCTCGTGGTCTGAATCATTTTAGGTAATATCTAATCGAGGCACACAAGTATTCATCATGTATAATCCAAGTATAAATAGTTTTTGGCATTGATGCATCATAAATAAAGGAGGGAGGAGTCCTTATATCTTGTTGAAATGAAGATAGTATTACAAATTTTTTTCATCTTTATAGACATGGATGATAGTATTACAAACTTTTGACATCTTACAGACATGGGTTCTTTTCAAGTTTCAAAACATTGTTCTGCAACATATACTATTTCTTGGCTGCAGCTACAGACCTGATCTTTGGTCGTGATGGCTGTGAACCAGATTATTTCTGAATGGCCAACACTTATATCACGTTACATAAAGAATCCTATCTTTTGTTTGTGCTTGTTTGAGTACCCTTTTTTTTCCCTTTTGTCTATGTGCGTGTTTATGGGTTAAGAAGAGGAGTATCAACCTTTCTTTCATTGAAAATAAATGTCCCCTTTATTTTGGCTGTTGGTTTTGAGAAGGGAAATATTTAATGGAAAAGTTTGTCTTCTACCTTGGTTCTCTTTACTTCTCTTACTATTGATGTAAAGTAATTTTTTATGGCACGGTCTGCTCATCTCACATAACCTCCCTGTAAATGCATAATAGTGGTAAGTATCACTTAAGCCTACTAAGCTTTAAAGTATGAGTTTAAGTTGACAAAATTTAAGTGGTAAGCTTTAAGTATGAGTTTAAGTTTAACATTTAAGCTGTAAGCTTTAAGTATAGCCCCATGCCACGAATTAAGAGTATTGGTTTTGAATTCTCTTCAAGGTGGTATTAGTATATTTGGAGTTAATTCTAATTTGTTTGAGCATTTAGCTATTTATTTAGTTTCTAACCCACGACAGCTGATATCCCTAATTCTATATTTATAACTACCTAGTTTTTAGATGTTTATTTTCATGTAAGGATTTGTGGTTATGGCTGAGACTAACTGGATGCGTATTATATATGAATGTCAAGGTCCGCATAAGATCCACGGAATAGGCGCTGGTTTTGTCCCAGGTGTCTTGCAAGTCAATGTGTGTGAAAGTTATTCAAGTAGCCGAATTCTTTTCAAGAAACACATGAAATTGTGTAATCTGAATCTTCAGCTCAATGCTCTGTAGAGTCCTTTAAAAGTATGTTTTGAGATGAGTTAACAGGGAAGATAATGTAGAAAGGTAAAAACTTCTTGTAATATGTATCCGTTGAAGTATGAATGGATGTTATCAGACGAAGTTATTAGTCCTACATTAACTGAACACGAAAGGCTTAAAGATTTTAACTGATATGGAAATTCAGAAAGAGAGAAATGTTGGGAATTCAACTTAGCATTCATGCATACCTATTTGTTTATTTATTGTCTGTGTACATGCATATATCTTATTGGATATAAGTTCGCTATCTTCTTCAGTGACTATTTCTAGAGATGTTACACTCGTGTTCTATGTAGTTTCACAGAACTCATTGCAATTTTTTATTTGTGTTGCTTCAAATATTCGCAACTGTTTTCAGGTTTTTAAACCGTCGTTTGTTAATTTGCGATATCAAGTAAAGAAGCAATTGAGACAGCAAAGCTTCTTGCATTGAAAGAAGGTTTACTTGTAAGCTGGGTTTAAAGCTGTTATTTGTAGCAATATCGTGGAATATTCACTAGTTTCTTTCATTTCACTCTCACTGCAACAAATATAATGGGAGTCTATTGCAGGTGGAATATCATCTGGTGCGGCTGCCGCTGCTGCAATTAAGATTGCAAAGAGACTGAGAGGCTGGAAATTATTATTGTAAGTTGAATCATTTCCCTTGCAGATTCTCATATTTATGTGGTTAAGAAAATGAAAGCTGCTTCCGTGCACATTTGGTGTAATCTTTGATAATTACCTCTGATGGTACCACCTCTCTGTCACAAGTACTTCCTGTAGGTCTTGTGTTCGAGAGGTAGGAAGGCGAAGAAACTCAGTGCAGGATGGAGAATCCATGAGTGGAGCGTTGCGGACAGAGGCGCGAGAGGGACCCAACCTCTCTCCTCAGCTTAATGGAGTTGCGATTTACTGATGCAGGTAATATTTCCTAGCTTTGAGGAGGTATCTGTCTTCTGTGCTATTGAATCGGCGAGAAAGAGGCAGAAAGATGGTATTCGAGCCCGGATTTGCTATTGTCGCCAATTGGTGTATTATAGAGAAGAAGAACATGATTTTAAGAATAACAGTGTTTGTTGGTGGTTTTAATTTAGCATTTTGGTCTCCTATTGGTTCTCTTCTCAAACAACATCAGTTATTTTAAGCGTAAACCTAATTCAATAAATCCTAATTCTATTTTCAAATAATAATGACAGAGTTGCTATTAAAGAATTTAATCAAGATCACGTAAGCACATTGAAAATGGAATTTATTTTATAGAGTAAAACATATGGTTGAAATACAATCCCAAA